ATATGCATTTTATGTTATTCTGGTCATTTAAAAAAAAAAAAAACAAGCAAAAGCAGGGACACCTGCCTCAGTCAGTACAGCTTGCAACTCTTGATCTTGGAGTTGTGAGTTTGAGCCCCACGCTGGGCGTAGAGATTAATTAAAAACAAGAGCGCAGAAGTTAAAGAGAGGAAACAAGGTTACAAGAAGTTGTTATTTTTTAAAGATTTTTTTTACTTTTAAAAGATTTTTTTATTTTTTATTTTTTAAAGATTTATTTATTTATTTGAGAGAGAGAGAGCATGAGAGTGGAGAAGGTGAGAGGGAGAAGCAGACTCCCCACAGAGCTGGGAGCCTGACACAGGACCTGCCAAAAGTTGCTATATTTTAATCTCAGTTACATCTCCATTCCATTCAATTCATTAGGAATTACCTGACTTAAGGTTTGCAGAGCCTGTATCCTTTGTGTGTCACCATAATGAGCCAAATACAAGTCAGCAAACCATCACGTGCTCACCTCTATAAAGTACACTGCTTCCAGAATCCTGAAAGTTAGGGACCAGTGGTGGTGGTATTTTTGAGTGGCATAAGCAGAATCCATCTCAAAGCTTACTCTTGTTTTTTTAGTCATTTTTCAGACACAAAGTTAATTATCAATACACAATGCCATCAGGTTAAAAAACTGACCTGACAAGAGGTTCCCCATTTGTTTCATTCTCTAGCAATTATAGGAAAAAAAATTTTTTTTATAAAAATAAAATGTAAAAGGGCATTATGTCCGGATAAGGCATATATCTGTGCTCTGATTAAAGCTGTCTCAAATCCTTTCCTCAGAATAAAAGAGGGAAAAAACTAAAAAAAAAAACCATACATGACATGTATACGTCTTCTGCCTATAATCGTCTTCATTGCTTTATTTTTCTGTTTTCATCATTTAAAACATGAATGTTTCCAAAGCCAAAATTAGATTACAAAATACATTCAGAGAGTTCCTTCTTCCATCCCTATTTGACCCTGGGCTCTTTCTTTCCCCATGGATAAGCACTTGAATAATTTTTGGATTATATTTCCGGTGTGTCTTCTTCACAAATATAAGCAAATACACGGATACATGCACAACCATATTCCTATTTCTCTCCCATTCCACCTCCCTTCCCCCCAAAACAGCATGCCATTTTACAGTTCTGTTCACTTACCAAAATAGTCTGCAGACCATATCGATACCAGCATGTTAGAGAAATTCTCTCTATTTCTTCTCGCAGAATATAACTAGCTAATTCTAGTTTATCTATAGCAAATATTCCATTTTATCTATAGCAAATATTCCATTTCTGGACCACTTACCCATGTCACTCACCTCCTACCTCCTATTGTTGGGATGTGTTGAGAGTACAAAAACTGGCTTTGATCATTGGCTCAGTCAAATTGTTACGAGGCTTGGGCTGGAATGACACAGAGACCATAAAAGAAAAACATGCAGCTTGGGGGGGAAGTAGACAACTTGTCTTCCTGCTCTCTGGAAGCTTGGATCTGGGCAGAAATCATGACTTCATCAAATAGAACAATATTCATATGAACACGATTCAATAGTCTAGAAATCTGAGGCTTCCCCACGCCACCCCCAATGGGCCATGGAGTAAAACTGTATGAGGCTCAGATGTAGAACTATACAGATTGAATTTATAGCTAGTCTATGAGGGGAGGGGGCTTCCTACTCATTTCAAAACACCAATATCCAAAAAAAGACACCAATATCCAGGACTAAATCTTCCACTAGAACTATCTATTAAATAAACTGGTACATTAAATACACAAGAGAGGATAATTATAGTGTGTACATAACACTATAAAGTCAATCTTCCACAAATCTTTATGACACCTTCTTCCAGATTCCATCCATGACCACAATTCCAATCCAATTAAGGAAATCTGAGTTGCAGAGTTAGAGAACTGGATGATTTTAAACATGACCTTTTATTCTGTCCTTTGCAACAGATATAGGGGTAACTTGTGCATAGTCATTTGAGACCAATTCCAGAAAAAAAGGAAATGAGACACACATGTAACTTTTTCTTCAAAAATTGGAGTTACTAATTTTAATAATTTTAAACACCAACACAATGGCATATGGCTGGTCGTTTATAAGATTGTTTCCATGAAGAGTAACTTTTCCCATGCTCTGGTATTAATGACCACTTGCACTTCTGATGACATTTTGTAAATATTTTTAAAAACTTTTTTTTAATAAGCTGCTATATGCCCATTGTGTTAAATATAGAAAAGTATAAAAAGATATTAATAATACTATGCAGCTGTATCTAAACACAGTTAACAGTGCAGCATTTTCTTCCAGCATTTTCCTATATGTATATATTTTTTCCTCACACTTTTGAGTGTAGTCTATAAATCTTGCAATGTCCTTTGATCAAAAATTCTATAAATTGAAGATAAAGCTGTACCCTTTGAAAGATAACCCTCTGAATCCAGTGTAAAAAATGACTTTGTGATCTCTTCTTGGGTTCTGTGTAATTTAGAAAACTGCCCATTCATTATCATCACTTGTTTCTCTGGAGTTATCTTTTCAAACAACGACTAAGTTAAAAAGAGGAAGCAAAAGAGAGGCCAAACCCCCTCCCCTTTGAAATCAGTTCTCTGACTTTGAGTCTTTGACAGAAAAAAATAATCAAATGTCCCCTTAACTTCCATATTGCCACTATGTGGTCGAAATTTGGAGGCCTCTCCAATCTAAAAAGTGCTCTTTACCGTAATCAAAGATGACACCATTCAATCACTCATTCGAGAAATACACTTTCAGAATACTCAAACGAGGATGGTGGCCTTTCATTGATTCACTGGAACTTTTTCACCATTCCTCCTGAAGAGGGAAGCTGTGTGTCTACATGGGCCAGCAGCTGCACCAGTAGCGATGTGGCGGGTCCTTCTCCAGAGACCAGCCAAAGCAAACTGGACTTGATGAGTATTGATCGAAGACCTCATCAACCCCACATTCCAGACAAAGGTCAGTGTAATTAGATTGCTTTGAGTAAAACAAGCCCACGGAAACCTAGAGTAACCGTAAGGTGATATTTGCTTTAGAAAAGAACTCCTTCCCAGAGAATTCCTTTAAATAACAAGCTCTCTTCATATATATTAAATAAGATTTGACTATATTAAAACACACCTTTTGGGAACTTGCCATAGAGAAGAGTCCTGTCACAAGTACTTCCTGTTTTTCTGGGAAGTCTTTTAGAAAATATTACTTGACACCACGTAACACAATAAATAATTACCAAATTTTCATTTTAATTATAGGGGATGTCATTTGAGGTTACATCAGAGCAGGTTACATTCAGAGGGTGAATTATCTTCCTCTTTCTCAAGACCTTGTGTGGACTGTGTGGAATTTTAAAAGGTCTCTTAAACGGCATAAAATATGGAAAACATTTGATTCTTACAAATACATTGTGAAATGCCTGAAACCAGAAAGTTGAGGTCTCTAGCTCGCTATGAGCACCAGCTTTACAAAGCTACATGTGAGGTAATGGGTTCATTCCTAGCTGCAAAATTACTTTATGGCTTTTAACAATAGATTACTTTAATTCATTATGCTAATTAAACTTTAAAAGAATCATGTGATGTGGGGGGAGTGCAAAATCATATGAGCAGGATGGGCTCTCCTTCCAAAATTAGAAATTTCAAGAGGGCAACAGTGTCGGATAAACCAAACAAACACAAGTCTTCCAAACGCTGGGACTTTCTCGGTGGCGACACGGGTCATAAGCCCGCGAAGCCGACCCTGCACAGGAGGCTCTTTTCCCCCTTCCTTTTAATAGACTATTTTCTGCGAGCAGTTTTTGGTTCAGGACAACATTTAGCCGAGGGGACAGAGGTTTCCCCACGAACCCCCTGCCTGCGTGCGGCACTTTTCCCTCCCGGGGCCTCAACCCGCTGTCCTAGTGCCCTGGTGCAGATGGATGCTGGCTTGGCTGTCAAGCTCGCCTGAAGTTTTAGGGAAAACCCTCGGCACGGCTAGTCTTTGCCCTGAAATCACTGGGGCACCGTATGATAAAAAACAGTGTTTTCTTTCTTCTTTCCCCTTGTTTATCTAAAAGAGACAGACTTTTCGAGTTTGCGGTGGGTTTAAAACAGCGGTGCACTGGGGAGGATCTGGGCTCATGTTAGCAAACGGCGGGAGGCAGGTCCCAGCGCTCCCAAGGACGGCGGGCCCGGCCTGGGCGGGTGCAGGGAGCGGCCCTCCGCGCCTTTTCCCCTGGGACACCTCGAGAGCGATGTCCCCTTCGCTGCGACCGTTGCTCTGTCTCTGCGGCCCCCCCTCCCCCGCCTTCCGGAGCGTCTCTCCCTCTCTCTCCCGGCCCCTAGTTCCCAGGTGGGCCCGAAGCAGGCCCCCCAGCCCCAGCCCGGGAGGGGCGTCCTCGGCCCATCTCCGCCCGCCTGAGGCGGCCACCGGGGGACGGAGTGCGCGCGGCGCTCGCCGGGGACCGCCGGGGGCTCCCGCTCCTTCGCAGCCCCGCGCGCCTGGATCTCGCCCCGCGCGTCCGCGCTCACGTCCCCCGGCTGCCAGGGTCGCACACGCCCCGGTCGCTCCCGGGACGGCGAGGGGACGCCAGACCCGGGCCGCGCGGGGCGGGCGACAGGGCCCGGTTGCCTGAACCCGGGCGTCCCCGAGGCCTCCAGAGGTTCGGCGCCCCCGCCCCTCAGCTTTCCGCCGCGCCCTCCCGCCGCTCCGCCGGCTCACGCCGCCGCCCCTGGCCGGCCGGGGCACCGCAGCGAGTCCCACCTCGCGCGGCCTCGGGAGCCGCGGAGGCGGCGGCGGCCCCGCGGCCTGTGCGTACGCAGCGCCCCCCGCGGCCGCGCCGAGCGCAGGCGGCGGCGGAGGAAAGGAGGGCGCCGCCCGCCGGGCCGGCCCGGCCCCTCCCCAGCCCGCCGCCCGCCCGCCAGCCCCCGGGGCCGCCGGCGGTGTCCGCGCCTCCGCGCCCGCCCCTGATTTCCTCCGCACGGCGGCGGCGGCGGCGGCGGCGCCTCGTGCGCGCGGTTATTTATTTATTTCCGGGCCCCAGAGCGCTTATAATGGAGCCGCTGTCAGCAGAACCTTCTGCTGCCGCCGCCGCCGCCGCTGTCCCTCCTCTTTTTTTTCCCGGCAGATCTTTGTTGTGTGGGAGGGCAGCAGGGATGGACTTGAGCTTGCGGATCTCCTGCTAGAGCAGCCGCGCTTGGAGAGGGCGCCGCAGCCGCGAGGAGGAGCCGCCGCCGCCGCCCCGAGGCCCCGCCGGACCCGGCCTCCGTCCGCCCGCGCCCCCGCTCGGCCCACTCGCCCCGCGCCTCCCGGCAGAGTCCCCTCCCGGCGGCAGATGTGTGTGGGGTCAGCCCACGACGGGGACTATGGTGAAATTCCCGGCGCTCACGCACTACTGGCCCCTGATCCGGTTCCTGGTGCCCCTGGGCATCACCAACATAGCCATCGACTTCGGGGAGCAGGTAAGCCCCGGCCGCGCCCCTCGCCCGGCCCGGGCAGTTCCGCCCTGAACCCCGAGCCCTGCGCCCCGCGCCGGGCTCGCTCTGCCTTGGCCTTAGACACCCGGGCGCCAGGGGATGAAAGCAGCGGGGAGTCACCTGCTCCGAGTCCCTTTTTATCCGGGAACATTTGGTTGGGCTTGCAGCTTGTCAAGGATGACTTTTCCAGCACTCCATCTCCCCCTCCCCCCCAGTTATTCAGCAGACTTTTCCAGCTCTCTCTGGAAAATGTTAAAAGACCAGAGGGTTTAGAGCTTCACCTATAGAAGGGTTTTTAGTGCACAGCAGGAGTATTATGTAATTTGTTGTTATGTAAACGTCAGGTCTGTAAGTAGAATGTAGTTGCTAATAGCTCAAGTGCTTGGTTTTTATTTACGCGGTGTTGGTGGTGATGGTGATGGCGATGATGGGGAGATTTTGTATTAGAACGTGTGCAAGTTCATTTCTCAGGTACTTCTAATTTTTTTTTTTTTTTTTTTGCCCAGGTATGGATTAAGGGTACCCAAATGTGTCCTGATAAGCTAACCGTTGACCATCTCTAATTTGGGGTTTCTCCCCCCCCCACCTTTTTTTTCCTTTTGGACCACTAAAGCAGGGGAGTGCATTTTTGTTTGTTGCCTTCTTGTCCTTGTTTCTTTTTCATGTCCCCCCCCCCCCCGCCCCCATTTCTCTCCATGTGGCGTCATTGCAAATCCCCAGCGCTGCAGACTCTCCCAGCAGTGGGGCACTGGTACTCTGCACTTTGCCTGTGGGAACCTTTTTCGCAGAGCCTCCAGCGGGATGCAGCTGCGTTTGAAGGCCAGGGAGAGGATGGGGGTGGGAGGCAGTGGCTTGCCTCCTGTCAAGGAGGCAGGTGTGGGGACTGGCCCCAGCGAGTGATGAGCCTCACTCCCGGTATTGTACTATCTTATTTCTTTGACTTTAAGTGGAGAGACTTCAAGGAATATATGTATAAAAAAATGCACCTGTGTTGGTGCACTTTTTGTTTTTTAAAATACCCCCTTTCAGAAGGGGGTCTGTTTGACTGCTCCCTCTGATGAGTATCTGCTTGGATTTGTCTCTCTGTACTCAGAACTTTTGCTTGATTCAACTCTGTAAGCTCACTAATGCTTAGCCCCCATTGTAAGCTACGTGTACGTCAAATTTTCTGGCCCAGAAGTGTTCACAAAATGGTATAGTGTCTAGAGACCTTTGCCTGGTAAGCAAACTAATTTCCTCCGCTGAACTATTATATTTTTTCTGTTGCCGCTTTGCTCACTAGGGTGTCCCCAGGGCATCTCTGCTGCTCCGCCTCCTTTCTGCCCACCTTCTCTTCTCTCATAGCACTGGGGACTTCGGGTCCTTTGTATAATCTGTGGAAAGGTTCTAGGACTGAATTTACTACACTGCCCTGCACATTTTAGATGAGTCCAATGCTGTAAGCTCACCTGCACCTTCTACTATTTAAGGCTTATTTTCTTGGAGCCATCCCAAAGATCAGAAAGCCGGGGCTGCTCACCTGATCCCTTCTCCCTGAGCTGTTATAGTGTGTGTGTGTGAGAGAGAGAGAGAGAGAGAGAGAGAGAGAAACAGAGACAGTGAGCGCGTACGTGAGAGCGAGAGAGGGAGGGAATAAGAGAAAGAAAATTATATGGGAAAACTGGTGGAGGTGAGAGTATTCTTTGTTGTAATTAAATGACCTGAAACATACCATACTATTGCCTCGCATTTGCCTTGATTTAGTACCAGGCAGATATAACTAAGCATTTGATTTTAGTGTAAGGGAAAAGATCTCCTGAGGTCCCAAAAGGGAGACTAGACATAAAAAACAGTCACACATTCGGTTTATCTTAGTGGGTCTAATAATGCAGACGCATCCTTAAAATGTTGCTAACCTGATTATCAAAGCCGACGTACATAAAGTACTGGAAGAGTTGTCTCTTTGCACAAATGTTTTATCAGCAAGTGTTGTCTGAGGCCCTTATCCCTTAAGTGCCGGTGTGTTTATGAGGTTACAGGCTGCCTGGTGGTGGAGATAGTCTGTCAGAGTAGTTAGGGGGGAAGGGACTGATAGGTTTCCAAAAACCTTCTTTTGCCGTCTGGTATCAGATGATAATTGTTTTGCAAAATTGTACAAGGGTAGAGGAACAGAACTTACATTTTCTTAAGCTGAAGGAGAATTAACTGTAGGAATTGAAGAGTGACCCAGTAACCTGTGGGTAAGAATAGAAGTGCATTTTACCCCAGCCGCTTTAAAACACAACAGAGAGGAGGAAAATGAACCTATCTGCAAAAGTGGTCTGCTTTAGACTTCAGAAAATACTTTGCTCCTGATGTGGGTTTTTAATCATGTTCTAGACATATGGATGCATGTAGATCTCTACCATTCTCTTAGAGTGTGCAGGTGTGTTACACCTTGCCTTGAGTGAATAAGACTTCATATTTCAAAAATTGACTCATCTTCCAGTAGAGGGGTAACAGAGGAGTACAGGGGTCAAAGGTCACATGTCCTAGAGATGAACAAGAAATACAAAATTAAAAAAATAAAACATCTCATTAGCTGTTAAGTCTCTGACTTGTCAAGAACAAAAGATAATATAAGATGAGGGGATTTTTTTATGGTTATAAAAGTCTCAGTTTGCTGTTTCTGTAAACAAAATGTGGATAGAATTTTTAAAATGGAAATCCAGCTATATGCAGGATTCCACTGAAATTTGAATAAACAGCACATATGCGATGGTGTAAAGGTATTACATATTCATAAATTATCTCAGAGCTGTCAGTGCGTGTGGGGGAGGGGCTGGCTAGGAAGAAGCCTGCAGTGATTCATCCAAAGCCTCCTGATGTATGAACATTCAGTTGTAGATAGATTTCCCTATAATTTTATGGCTCAGTCAGGGAGGAAACCCAAATATTATGGAGTGTTCTAACAAGGTTAGCAAAACCTGTTATCACATTTTAAATTTTGGTGGTGGCAGTAATTTTGGGGGGTTGCAAGGGAGGGGTGCGTCCTACATGGGGGAGAAAAGCTGCTTGATCTAGAATAACCTGCTTTTTAATAGTAAACGAAAACACCCTAGGAAACAATGAGAATCAGTCCATTATCGCAGAAAGTAAAATCGTGTTTGTAGAACCCTGTGGGTGCTTAGTACACTTTATAATATCTAGAATTATCATTTTATCTCTAATTTTTACAGATTGAAAATCAAAACTATTAGTTGTTTCCATTAACTGACTAGTTGGTATGTGCTTCTAGCACATGTTACAAAGTGTGGAAAGACTGAGAGGTTTGGGGCAAGTAGAGTCACTTGTCCAAGATCACGCAGGTATTATGGGGAGGAGCCAAGACTCGAGCCCACATCTGCCTGGCCCTTGGCCTTCCTGCTCCCCACCTCCTCCAGTCAGGCCCCCCGCTGCTGAAATCTGCCCAGGAGTTGTTAGAAATTTAGGAATAAGTTTCTGGCTTTTCTGGTTCCCAGCCTGGGCTTAAACTTAACCTTAGCAGTCAAATTTTGAATTTCATGGTGTAAGACATTCATAAAAAGAGTTCTGAGGAACGAAGGGATTGTGACCAAGAGGTTCACAGGAGAAGAACCAAACTATACAGATAATTCATATTGATAAATCAACAGTGTATCTTATTTTGCCTTTGGTTAGAAGGGAGGAAGATAAGAAGCAGCGGATACTTCACAATAAAATTATTTAGAAATTATTTAGTCTTTATCACTAGAGCACTGCAGATTGCTAAGATAGATTTTGAACAATGTATTTTTTAAAAGTATTTGCACATGTCCCTGTTGTCACCATGTTCAAAGGACTTTTATTTCTATTTAAAACTAAACTTGGTACAAAGTCCCTGAATTCCTTAAAAGCCAAGTTCACCAAATTATGTAGAATAAATCAGTGAACTTTATTTCAGGGTACTTAATGGCACCTAAAATGTTAAATACAACTTCATTATGAAGACTTCAAAGGAGTAAAGAAGTTTGAAATTGTTCTCTAAACTTGAGAAGAAATGTGTTCTGCCCAGTGTCTGGTAATTCTCTCTGCCACACCAAGATGATAACTGTGGGTATTTCTGATTGCCCTAGATGATTCACTGAATCTGGTTGGGTCCAGTATGATAATTCATAATAATTCAAAGACCCAAAGTTTTTATGTGTGAATGAAGAGCTTTGTATATGGATTGTTAGAATTGTAGAGTAAGTTGCATGAAGGGAACGTTAAGTCCTTTCTAACTTAGGGAACCTAGCATTAGGCTTTCACAATATAAGGGTCTCAAATTACTAATACCACAAAATGGAAAAAGAGAAAGGCCCAGGAAAAATAGTTTAATAAATATCTTTTTTGTCTACTAAGTAGGGAAATACATCCCCCCACCCTCTCCAGACCAGGAGGTAAAAGAATGAAAAAGGGTGTGTGTCTGACATTGGCCACTGCTGGGAAGGGACTCTTTATCCGAGATCTGTAAGTGAAGGAAGAGACCCCCCGGGCAGAGCTTGCCTTAAGTAATAATAAAACTGCCCATTGTATGTTCCACTTTGCAAAGTACCTAGAGACAGAAATGGCAATCTCAAGCCAAGTTTCCAAGCAACCGTGGGGGAGGGAGGGATTTTTTTCCCTTCTGTCTATTCTATGTTAATAGAATAGATTTCAAAATGCCATTCATTGTTTTCTTATTATAAAAACACTAAATGCTAACTGTCGAAAGTTTGGTTAAGTATTTCAAAATGGAGGGAAAAAGTAAAAATACCTCTGACTCCACTCTAAAGAAAAGAACTCCTTTAACATTTTGAGTATCTCCTGCCAAATTTTTTTCATCATAATTGTGATATGTGTATGTTTCGCAGAACCCAGAGGCATTTTTCCCATATCACTTACAAGTATTTAAGTATGCTTTTAAATAGCAGCATAGTATTTGATTATACAAGCATGCTGTAATTCCCTTTGCTGTGTATGTTTCCCTATTGTTTATTTTTTTGTTT